ATCTTAGGGCCAATAGCTGATTTGAATCAGAGTTTGGCAGTGGCTTTATAAAGCACTCTTTACTGTTTATTTCAAGGTCTATACTTGCAATTGTAGTTACAGACTTATCCAGGTGGGATGTTGTTACATTAAGGTGTCTAAGCCAATAGTTAAATTGGTATATTCTTGAATTAGAAGCAAGGTCCTTTTTGGGTTGCCCTCAAAACTAGTATTTGGATATAATGACTTTTGGAGGAAAAGGCTGAATTGCTAATTTATTATATGATTAATAAATTGGAATAAATAGTTTACTAATATATTATATGATTAATATATTAATAAGAAAAGAAAATAATTATTTTGGATATAATTAGAAATTAATTGGAATTAATTTTGGGATTAATTGAATTGACTAAAAGTGCAGGGATTGTTTGGTTAATTATTGAAAGTTGAAGCAGGAAGACTCGAGAACCACATGGGATAGGGGTGAACAAAATTTGGCTAGGAATGACCTAGAAATTTCGTTCATGAGGCTTAAGATAAGGATATAAGGCAACTTGATTATTATATTAAATAATTTGTGTCTTATCCCAAGAACCATAACTTTGGTCTCAAGTTTCTTTTATCTATATAACCACATGGCTCTCATTATTTCGTCCACTTCTTCTTTCCTTCATAGAGCTAAATTTTTTTCTCTAAGCCTCCTCTCTCCCCAGGTCTTCTTGCTACTAGGGTTTTGGGTACAATCCATTAGAGGCATCCATTCCTTTGGTGCTAGCTATCCAAGATCTAGAAGAAGGATTCTGCTTTGATTATTTGCAATAATAATCAAAAAGGTATGTAACCCTAATATTATGTGAATTTCACTTTCATAGCCACTCTCCTAGGTTTTCTTGATATTCATAGTTAGTTGCTATCAATAGAGAAACCATAGATCCTTTTTATGTTGCATGCGAACTTAAGGGTTTAAGTGTTTTTCCGCCACATGTAATTTTTTTATAACCTAGAAAACCCATCACATGTAACTTAACGTATTTGCTTAATAGTTAGCTGATATCATTAGGGTCCTTATAAAGCACAAAGCAAACAACATTCGAGCATCGAGTAATCCAAACCAGTGCATCACCTAATCATGTCATTCTATCCAACATCTAAAATTCATACTAACATGTAAATCTAATAATTCAACCAACAGGCATATAAAGGCATCTCTTATAGCATTCTATCATGCAATCCTGAGCACCTCCTTATCCTTAATCTAGCATGCAATTCTCATAACATATAACATAACATCATGTATGGGTATTTTGGGAATCAATTACTTTAGCTCGGCTGATTGCACGCATCACGCCCTTTTTCTTTATAGAAATCTTTTAGAAAAATCATTTTTCTTTCAAAAAGATTACCAATTCCTTAGTTTGAGTTCAGACACACCCGAGAGTGTGCCCGAATCCCTCAAACCAAGGCTCTAATACCAACTTGTAACGTCCCAAAATCTCATAGTAAAATTTTCATTTTTAAAAAAATAAGCCATACAAACGAGTTGTTCCAAAACCAATCAAAGTGAATATATCATTTAAAAATCATATTAAGAATCACAAATAGCCAATGCAGAAAACTCTGGGGGTTGCTGTGCAGTCACGCCGGACTCTTCCCTTTGTAACCGGAAGTACCTAAAACCATAAATATGAAATTGTAAGCACGAAGCTTAGTGAGTTCCCCAAAATACCACATACCATACATAGAATAGAGAATGCTATATGCCAACCATAGTCTTACAACTACAATCATGCCATGAGTCGTATCGTGGTCTTTCCTTACCAAGCCGGGGGCTAAAACCCAGTTCTTACAAACAAGTGTCAAGAGCAACCTCCTAGTCTTTCATGTAAGTATTACAAAGACATATAACATCCTACATATAACTGCCAGTATATTATAGTAGAATTAGCATGGAAGTATTATAATTTAAACAATTACCTTCAACATTGCGCAGTAGATACCACCATTGTTGCATAGTTTCTCAAAATAAGTAAATCAACGTTGTTATTGGTAGTTTTCGTGTGTCTTTTGATAATGATTTGATTGGATCGACGTTATTTGATATCATTATATTATACCAAACCACATGGAAATGTGACCTTGACTATTTGTGGTAACCAATTATATGTATCCATGTATGATAGTCTTTGTTTAGTGCACGACGTATCCTAGCCAAGCTTTCTTTGAAATCAAACTCTCAGTAAGCTTTTGCAGCCTCCCAAAACAAAATTTCAGCTCTCTCTTGTTTTCCGATCTTTGTTATCAAGTTCATCAACAAATAATGACATTAGAGTCAGTGATATGTATTCAGAAACACTGCTTGAATGGTCATTTCAATTGAATTAGTTCTATCGGATGTGATAGCCAAAGAGGACATATCCCTAATAAATTCTTTGAGTCTTGATAAAAACCATATCCATGAATCCCCACTTTCTGTTTTTTTCTAACACAAAATGCAATATTAAGGATTTGGTTATTTCGTCCATGCCTACTTCTAGGAACATCGTGCCCAAATATATCCCATTAGGATCTGCTCCGTCAATGATAATAATAGGACGCAAACATGTTTGAAATGCTCGAACGTACACAATAATTATTAATAGATTAGTTATTAAATCGAACACACGTGTAACAACAATTAAAATAACTCATTATATAAGTAATATTACAGCACAACCGTAGCCATGAAAAAAGTATTCAAAATTGTTGTCATAACGTGTCTTTATATATGTAACAGTCCCAAGATTCTTCCTCTCCAAATTTTAACAATATAAAGGAAGTCTTTCAAAGATATCTTCAGGGGTTCCTCTCAACAGATTTAGAGCATACATTTTAGCACTCCATGCTTGCTAATATGAAATATGTACACTAAGACAGCCATTTAAAGTTCATTGTGTCTACTTCCCCCATAACATATTACATGTACTATCAGCTAATATGCCCTTCAAAAAGGGAGTCGATACCTTTTTTGGCTCGTCGATGATGGGGAAGAAGCTGTGTGTTTGAGCAAGTGTGCCTCTCCAATAGTTTAACCAATTAAAATGTATCAGTATCTTTATCTTTTATAGCCCGTATCCGCCATTTATAATTTTCCATAGAGCAAACATCTTCATACCTATCTTTGTAGATTTCTCACTCTCATTTGGAAGCCTTCAGTAACACATTTGAATCCTAACTTAAGCTTAAGTCCTTCTTTGCTTTTGAAGAGTTGATGCTTCTTCACATAATAAGTATAATTATGGGTTGTGACCCATTTAGGTTTTTGTAGAGCTAATCCAGGCAATGGTAAAGATTGAGGCATACCACAATGAGTGTTTGTGTTTCTTCAGAATTGGAATATTAATACAAAACCTTTCCTCTAGTGGTTTTGGGGTTTTAGGGGCTCAGTTTCCTCTTCTTCAAGTTCAGTATCATCCCCATCAAATTCAGTGAAACTCTGAAAATGTTCAAATGGCTCTACATATGGAATTATATTACCATCATTAACCAACAACATTAGTTTTGCCTCATCATTTCCAGATTCATCAACATCAACTGTTGGAAAAGCATCATCAACAACCTTACTTTTATATTTAAAATCACCCCCATCTATAGGGCCATTATAAGAAGGAACATGATTGATTGTCATAGGTAATAAATTACAAATTTGGTTACTTCCATCATCGGAAGACCCATTGTCACCAGAACAATTTTCCTGAGAAATTGTTGAATACCACTTTCCATAACATTATTAACAACGAACAATTAAATTGTGTTATGAGGCATACTACTAACAAAACTAAGAAATATCTAAAAGCACTATCATCAAGAATCTGCATAACTATATTTGATCCAGGACATTGAAAAGATGGATATATTTGATTAATGTGTAACCTGGACTTGAAAGCAACCAATGTGATTAACTCAAATAAGTTGATATCATTATTTATATCTACACCAAAGCATGTGTAGTTTGGAACAATATAATGCATAGATCACTCGATACGCTGTCATTACTCTCCACTATAAAATGACACTCAAAAAAATTCGTATACATACTCATTCTTTTAGATTACGAAACCTATCAAAAAACACTGTTTGTAGACGAATTGGGGAACAAAGACACAAAAATACATGTAACTTGTGGCTTGTAGGTGAACAAAGAACACAACTACCCTATTTTAACCACTCCGAAATGTTCATACATTCCTGTGTACATTTAGAATACACTTTTTTGTCCGAAAACGTACGGGTGTCAAATTTCGGCCATGAATATTATCAACCACCACCAACTTCAGAATGAGCATAATACTTTGGAATATTGCATTCTGGAAAATATAGTCCGGAACGTACGATTGTCAGATTCTGAGTCTGATATCTACCAACCACCACAACTTCAAAAAAATATATATAAAGTAATAATTATTAGTAAAATACTCGTTTATATGAATTAGTTTCCTCGTAAAAATAAGCATATAGAAGTGTTATGAAACAAGTGGCATTTAGGTAACCGATAAAGAAGTCTCCTAATATGAACAAGGGTCGGTATTTGTACCATGATCTCGTCTATTTTCAATGGGATAATGACTTGAAAGGGTAACGAACTTTCGACTTTGTTCACATTTAGTCACCAAACTTTTTTTCGTTATCTATTTGCCACTAAACTATTGAAACTGTTCACATTTTACCCTTATGACCGGCTGTTGCCGGTCATAAGGGTAAAATGTGAACAGTTTCAATAGTTTAGTGGCAAATAGATAACGAAAAAAAGTTTGGTGACTAAATGTGAACAAAGTCGAAAGTTCGTTACCCTTTCAAGTCATTATCCCATTTTCAATTTAACTATTTTTATCCTAATATGAACAAGGTTCGGTGTTCGTACCATGATCTCGTCTATTTTCAATTTAACTATTTTTATACTCGCATAAAGATATAAAATATAAGAATTCGTCAAACAACACGCTACGAAACCCCTTTTTAAATCGATTAATAAAATAATATTGATGGAATTGACAGCTTACTTTCTTGAAGCTGAATCTTGGTAGGGTTTGTTTATTTTTTTCTTTCTGATTTTTCTGATTTGTAGTTTGTGTGAACTCTATTATAAAACTAAAAAATATATTAAATATAATTTAACTTTTATATTTAGATTTCCTAACCTCGTCGAATCAAGAATCTCGTTTTATTAATAAAAATATTAACTCATGAATCTCGTTCATTGTTGCTATTATTTGATAATATTATATACAGTATTAATGTTAAAAATATTATTTTATTATTTATATATATATAAAAATAAAACTTGTGGATATAAACCCGCCGTTCTCCCAGTTTTCCATGTTCAGGCTTCTCGTCATAACTATTTACTCCACCCATTTTCTTCCATATTTTGAAGCAATCGACCGAGATAAAGCTTTCAGAAGCCATACACAGGAGCAAACAAGCTTCTAGCTTCAAATATCGTTTTCCGGCGCCACCCTCCCTTCTTCGCTCGGTGGCTTCTCGTATTCTACCGGGTACTTCTTTTTCCGGCGACTCCCTTCTTATTTTCCCGGCGAAGGGTACATTCACACCGGTGTTTGCTTCTTTCTGTGTGTTTTCAATTTTCATCCTAAATATAAAAATATTTTTTCACTTTCTTGAGTTCTTCAAATTATCCATCAACGGTAACATACGGTGTAAAAAAAGGTAAGCCACAAAAAAACACCGAAAATTAATGTGGTTATCATTTTTGAATAAAATAAAGAGGAAATTTCGAAAATATAAATTAAGTGGGACCCACTGCATGAATTGGAGCTAATTCATAAATGTACAAGGTCCATGCCTCCTGTCATGAACCCAAATCCCCATTAATCGAGATTAAGCTCTTAGGCCATTTTGAACAAAGCATGGACCATTAATTTGTTGAAGATAGTTGATATTTTCATGCTTTGAAGGTTATCAATGGAATAAGATAGCTTACTTTCTTCACGTGTGAATCTTAATAACTTAATTGGACTTCTTACTTCATTAATTTTCTGTTTAATAGCTAGTTGGAGTAAGTTCTAATCGGAAAAGGGTTTGTTTTCTCGCTAGAATTAAATGAGAAAATAAATTGGGTAGTAGTTGTGTATCTATCATTCTATCTACAGTTGTAATCAAATGTGTTTCTCGTGCATGTATTTTCTTGATATTTTTTTTATGATGATCCATGGTCCCTACAACTTCACTCTTCAGTTCATCATATTTCATTATTCCCCATTGCTTGTTGTCTTTAAATTGCTATATTTATACTAGTCGTATACTTCACAATTTTAAGGTTTTCTTTTTTTATTGGGATTTCTTGAAGCAGTTTTGTTTAACAGATGGGGTTTCTTGAGCTGTTTTCTGCTGCTTCAACACCTATTCTCAAAGTTCTGATAATCACTGCAATTGGCTCATTTCTTGCCTTTGATTCTGTTGATATCTTGGGACCAATTGCAAGGAAACACGTCAATAATGTAAGTTTTTTGATTTTCTATACCCTCTTTGTTGATGATCATAGGAAATCGCTAATTTTGATTAAAGATTCGATTTTGAATGTGAACAGGGTGTGTTCTTTGTGTCGAATCCAGCGCTTGTGGGAAGCAATCTTGCTGAAACAATCACTCTCGAAAGCATGATTTCTATGTAAGTTTTCTTTAATAAGTTCTTCTATATATTTTGTTGCTTCCTTTGAAAATGTTTGAAGATTAAAAGTTAGTTAAAAACTTCAGGTGGTTTATGCCTGTGAACATTCTTATTACATTCATAATTGGAGCAGCACTTGGATGGTTGCTTTTGATCATCACAAAACCACCTCCACATCTTAAAGGCCTCATCTTAGGCGTCTGTTCAGCTGGTAAATTACCTAAAATACCCCCGTATAAGTTAAAAAAAGTTTAAAATTTTGGATTTTGATTGTGATTTACAGGAAACCTGGGAAATTTGCTTTTGATTATAGTTCCAGCTGTATGCAAAGAGAAAGGAAGTCCCTTTGGTGATCCTGATGTTTGTCATGGGTATGCCATGACGTATGCTTCAGTATCTATGGCAGTATGTACTTTTTAAAAAAAAAAAAATTATTTGAACTCGTTTAAATGCCATATTTATTTATCTCACCTAACAACATGCTCATCAGATGGGATCTTTATTTGTGTGGACTTTCGTGTACAACCTACTAAGGGCCTTTTCGGAAGATTCTGGCAACAATGTTGTCAAAGAAACAGTAACCACACATGATGATTTGACTGAAAACTTGCTTCCATCATCTTCACCTACTCTTAAAAAGCCGAAACTGAAGGTTGTTTTTCACTTTCCATGGAGTATTCAATTAATCTTCCATGACTGATGAATTTACTTACTTATAAATCGTATCCATCAGGTGATGTTAGATAAAATGAAGCAACAATTGGGGAACTTTTCGAAAGCTGTTAACTTGAAGGACATATTGGCACCATCAACCACCGCAGCTGTACATTGCTTTCTTCAACCCTTAATCAATACGCATTATTTACCCTGAAATGTATACATACGAATAACGAATTTTCATTTATAAAAAAAGATTATAGGCCTCATAGTTGGAATGATTGGCCCACTGCGTAGGCTACTAATAGGCACCACAGCTCCTCTTCATGTGATCCAAGATTCTGCATCTTTAATCGGGTATGATGATGATGATCCTTTGTACAATGTCTAGATTTTTCATTATTATTTTGGGGTCCCGTTTGAAACGGGATCATATTTGTAAGATATATCTCTAGTCCAAGATTGTCTTTCCAAAAGACACTTGTAGGACTTTGTGTCTATGTCGCATCGATATGAGATATGCTAACAGTATTTCTCATGTTGTTGTCTCAGGGATGCTGCAATTCCAACTATGACATTGATTTTGGGTGCTAACCTCTTACGAGGTAACTTAAACTTAGATTAGTTATAATTATAAATCGAGTTTTTATGTATTCAATTGGTTGAAATTAGTAGACATAATTTGCATTTTGTAGGTTTGAAAGGATCATCTCGTGTCTCGTTACCAATTGTGTTTGGAATTGTAGCAGTTCGATTAGTTTTGTTGCCAATTATTGGCATTTTTATTGTGAAAGGAGCGATTTACTTGGGCTTAGTGCATGCAGACCCTCTTTATGTTTACGTTCTTTTACTACAATTTGCAGTTCCACCCTCCATGAACATTGGTATGAGAGTACAAATTGTAGATATGTTTCTTGGATCTTTCATTTTTTATAACAAGTTGTGAAATTTATTGATATGATATGATATTGTTGTAGGTACAATAACACAATTATTTGGAGCTGGTGAAAGTGAATGTTCGGTGATTATGATGTGGTCGTATGGTTTGGCGTCGGTTTCACTTACCGTATGGTCCATGTTCTTTATGTGGCTCGTGGCTTGATTTGTTTCGGTTCAACAAATCAAACATAGAAATATCAAAGGGCCCCACCCAACTAGGTAATGGGGTTATTTTGTGTGAATTCAAATCAGAATTATCATTTATCATCATTTATATAATCTTTGATTTATATTTTTTTTGTGGAGAATAAAGTTGGCGCAATTCGAATTCTTATCGAGTTTCATTGGTTCTATGTAAGTATTAGTATTTATGTAATTAAGGCTAGAGAAATATCAAGGTTTGTGGAGTAATTGGTGTTTCATTAGCGCTTTGTTATTATATGTAAGTACTAGATATAGAGGCTAGAAGAATAAGCGTCTAGTCAAAAGCTAAATATCAACATCATAGGAGCAAACTCATAATAAATGGTAGAAACACAGTTCCAGAATCCAGACGAACCGGGACCAAAAGCCAAATATCATCATTAAAGGATTGAACTGGCAACCATAGACATCAACATCATAGGAGCAAAACACTACCTAAAAACGCCAAACATTTAACATCCCACAAGAAAGATCCAATATAGCACACGATGTTAATCCATCATACACATACAAATATTCTACCTACCCACACGGCAAATAAAAAGAAAAAAAAAATTCTACCTACCCACACGGCAAATGAAAAAAAAAATCTCCGACTCTCCATTATTATTATTATTATTATTATTATTATTATTATTATTATAGAGAAAATCAAAGGCTAATCTTATTTAACGTTTTTCAAGATTTAATAAAAAGCTAGAAGGTTTCTAAAAGTAGTCATTAATTTCGCAAATGATATGTACGAAATTAGCGATGTCATATGATAAGTTAACATTTTGTTTGAAAAAAGTATAATTATTTTAGAATGTCATGCAAAATGACACCTACTATTGTGAAAATCTTAATATTTTCACTATTTCGCAGATGGATCTATGAAATGGTCAATAAATATAATTTTTTAGTTCGATTACAATTATCTATACAATATTACCGTCTTTCAAAAATAAAAAAGACAATATTGCTTTCCACCAACCATAAAGTGTTTTAATCATAACATTTTATTATTCATTGTAAAATGAGTTCGAATGAATTTAGTGTTTGACATTGAGAATATGAAAATTGTTATGTTTGTTCTCATATTAATCTATTTCTTGATGGCCCAAAATGAACCATTGCCGGCTAAGATGTTTGATTACATATTCGAAGTGATGACGTAAGTTGAAGAAGTCAACCGAAGGGGCTCGGAAGAGAGTTAGGAACTTAATAAACGTGCATACGTTCTTTCAGTAGAGATGCAAGAAAAACTAGATTGAGTAGCGGGTACTAAGAAAACAATTAAAAAAATGAAAAAAAAAATTTGGATTGGTGTTGTGAATGCACAAATTTATAGGCTTAAGGCAGAACTGAGTCATCTTACAGGTGTTGTTATAGCTAGAGAATGTTTTACTGACCCCAAAAAAGCAATGTATCATTTGCAATTTCCCAATGTGCACCAAAAGTTAAGTTTGTAATCAATGTAATCAAGGCAAGTAATAGAAATGAAAAATATTGGCATTCATATAACTGTGAGTAAATTACACGAGTGGTCCTTTAGCTTTAAAGTTTTTCCCTAAAATGGTTTTTACAAAACTTTTTTCCATGAGATGGTTTTTACGGAGTAAACCTTGCACACAAATCGTCATTACCGTTAATGTCCGTTAGATTAATCCGTTAAGGTGAATGAATTTTGGATAGTGACTATTTTTGTCATTTTGTTAAAATTGCTTAAGGACCATTTGTGAAAATTTACACAATGACCATTTCAAATATTACAATTTTAGTCTCTTACTTTTTTTTCTTTTTACATTTTTGGCCCTCTTTTTTCACATCTTTGTTATTATATATTTTTTAAATATATAAATAATTTTTTTGTCTAGATTTTATCTAAAATATTTAAATTTAAATACATAATTAAATATTTTTGCTTTCTATTTTTTATCTAAAAATATTTGAAGTGTAAAAACATCATTTTGTTACTTTTCAGTTTTTATATGATGTAATTTTTAAGATTTATCTTCCTTTATCTTATACAAATATATTTATTTTTATTAAGAAAAAAATATGATGTGTTATTATAAAAAATACGTTATCACAGAAATAATAGTATGTTGCTATTTTATTTTAAAAATATAAGTATGTGGTTTTTAGTTAAAGATAAAAATATATTTCAGTTTTGATTTCATAATATAAGTACATTAAGTTTTATATTGATTCGATATAAATTTTTTTGAACGGAGCTTCGGTATAAAATTTTATATTTAATTTTAAAAAATTATTTAGTTTTATCACTTTTTGAATATATTCCTTAATAAGACATAAACTTTTCAACGCAATATATATATATATATATATATATATATATATATATATATATATATATATATATATATATATATATATAACGTTTGTTAGCTAGTACTGAAGTATGCTACTACAAATGCTAGGATAATTAACCATATGAAGAATATGACATTAATTTCATTTAATTCATTTTATTTAAAAGAAAATGAAAATATTTTATATATTTATATAAAGTGAATTAAACAGAATTAATGTCATATTAAACGGAATAAAACGAAAATAATATGATATTAATTTTGTTAATTTTTTTTCCATTAAATAAAATGAGTTAAACGGAATTTAATTTCATATTATTCATATGGTTAATTATTTTAACATGTGTAGCAACGAAGTTAACTATTAGCTAACAAGTGTTTTTTATGTTTTCTTTGAAAAGTTTTTGTCTTATTAAGGAATATATTCAGAATTTGAAAAAACTAAATACTTTTTTAAAAATAAATATCAAAATTTTATATCGAAGCAATATAAAATTTACTTTACTCATATTATGAAATCACAACCGAAACATATTTTTATATTTAACTCAAAACCGCATACTTATATTTAAAAAAAATAGCAACATACTATTATTTATATAATAACGTATTTTTTATAATAAGGCATAATGTTTTTAGTAAATTATACGAATGATCCCTATGGTTTGGGGTAATTTACATGTTTGGTTCCTAACTTATTTTTTTAACTCGGAAGGTCCATACTGTTTGTTTTTGTTGCGCGCTTGGTCCCTGTCTTACATAAAAAGACTATTTTGTCATTGATTATTTATTTAAATAAACACACCCCAACCCTACCTCCACCTCACCTTACATTACCTTACCTACCCTACCTTATTTAAATAAATTAAAAAAAATCAAGGGTAAAATAGTCTTTTTAGGTAAGACAGTGACCAAACGCTCAACAAAAAAACAATAGAGACCATTCGTGTTAAAAAACAAGTTAGAGATCAAACGGTGCAAATTACCCCAAACCATAGGGACCATTTGTGCAATTTACTCTAATTTTATGAATGCCAATAGTCTCCTCCCCCAAGATCATTTAAAACTTTTGATTATATCACTAGTATTATGAAATAATATTTTTTATTTTCATTACTTGCGATGATTACTTTTTATATTTTTCGCCTAACGACCTACAATTCTAGAATAAATTAAACGAATGGTCATTTAGCTTTACAATTTTTTTCTGAAATGGTCCTTACGAAACGTTTTTTTTCCTAAGAGGGTCCCTATGGAACAAACCTTTTACACAAATGGTCCTTACCATTAATGTCCATTAAATGAATCCGTTAAGTTGAAAGAATTTTTGATAAAGACTATTTCTGTCATTTTGTAAAACTTGCTTAAGGACCATTTGTGAAATTTTAGACAACGACTATTTGAAATATTACAATTTTAGTCTCTTACTTTTTCTCTTTTACATTTTCAGCCCTCTTTTTCATTGCTTTGTTATTACATATTTTTTAAATATATAAATAATTTTTGTTGTCTAGATTTTATCTAAAATATTTGAAGCATAAACACATAATTTTATTACTTTTTAATTTTTATATGATGTAATTTTTAATATTTATCTTCATTGATCTTATACAAATGTATTTACTTTTATTAAAAAACATGGGGTATATTACACAGATGGTCCTGTCGTGTAAGGTAATCTGCGTGTTTGGTCTCTAACAACTTTTTTTTAACTCGGAACGTCCCTATTTTATATTTTCGTTGCACGCTTGGTCCCTACCACTCTTGAAAATACTATTTTACCCTTAGAACTATTTTTATTTTGTTAATTCTTTTTTTTTCAATTATTATTAAATAAATTAAAATATATAACAAAATCAAATACACTTATTATAACCAAACATCAAGAGACCTCCGTCTCATTTGTTGCCTTCGTCCCCCTACTTCCCTAATTTTCCCATTGCCGATCCACAAAGTATTACCGGCGGAGTTGAGATAGGAAACGAATCAGAAAACGTTAGTTACCTGTGGAAATCGACTTTCAAAAACCGATCTTGTACATAAGCTTTAGAGTGCATATTGATTTCCAGATTTCGAATAACAACTCAAACAAGGCGTGGGCTAGGGTTCCGACGAGAGAAGATAGGAAACCGACGTTTTTCTAGAGATGTTTCCGATGAGAAAAGAAAGGAATGATATGCTAGGGTTTGGTTACTTGTGAGTTTTCTATCATGAATTGATAAACTAGTAGAGGGGGTGATGTTTCGATTTCCCACGAGATTACAAAGTTCCTGCGATCGTGGGTGGTAGTGTAACATCGATGTCGGAAACCATTCAACCCCTCACAATCAGAGGTTTTTTCTTTTGCTACCGAAGAAATGGGGGACTTTTTAAGGATATGGGAGTCGACTGGATTTTAATTTCAATTGCATCTTTTGATTTTGGATTTGGATTTGGATTTGCATCGGATGTTACATTTTTGTTTAAGATTTGATTTTCAGGTTTTATTTTATGTGGGTTTTGGATTTATGTTGGAGTTTGGTTTTAGATGTATTTTTATATTTATTGTTGAAGATTATGTAGCTTTGTGTTGAGTTTTGAATGATTTCTATGGTATTTAATCTATAGCCGGGGATGATGACCGGTGCATATGTCAGGGATGCATCTGTTATCGGAGATGGTAACCGGAGGTGGTGGAATGAGCTATAAGAGGATTGATGTGGGGTGGGTCATTTTTCTAATAACATATTAATAATTTAATTTATTTAATAATTAATAAATAATAAATTAATAAATAAAAAAATTAATTAAAAAAAGAAATGGATGAGGGTAAATTAGTCTTTTTAAAGCGGACAGAGACCAAGCGTGCAACAAAATTCTAAAATAGAGACGGCCCGAGTTAAAAAAAAAA